AGGGTATGTGCTATGGTGAGTGCTGTGAATTGTGTAAGACTGATGAATCACAGACCTGTACCTCTGAAGCAAATAATACATTATGTGTTAAAAAAAAAAGAAGAAGAAGAAGAAGATAGTAGGAAGGGAAAAATGAAAGGGAGGATATCGGAGGGGGAAACGAACCATGAGAAACTATGGACTCTGAGAAACAAACTGAGGGTTCTAGAGGGGTGGGGGTGGAGGGATGGGTTAGCCTGGTGATAGGTATTAAAGAGGGCATGAATTGATGGAGCACTGGGTATTATATGCAAACAATGAACCTTGGAACACTACATCAAAAACTAATGATGTAATGTATGGTGATTAACATAACATCATAAAATAAAATTTAAAAAAATGCCACTAACTGTTTTAGCTTAAAATAAAAATAGCAAGGTCATATAAAAAATAAATTAAAATAGCAATTCTGGTTCAACCTACTACTCTGTATCCTTAGCACCAAATACAGTATGTAACACAATGGTTAGGTTCAATAAATACTGAATAGCTATGAATTAATACATAAAACATCCATGCTTTATGAACTTATTAAATGGTTGCTACAAACTTTGTCATCTATATCTCCAAATTGATCTCCCCTTAAATGATCTGTTCTCTAAAGCCTCAAACATCAAAATATACTTTACTGGAAGAAACAGTTATCTGTATACTTATAGAATCTAAATATTATAATATATATATTCATATACATATACCAAAAGTGTACATGAAGCCACATTTAGATATCTGAAATAAGACATATTTAATTTGTAATTGTTATTATATTACAATCATTAAAGTGTAGTGAAAATTTGAAATTCATATTATTACTTTGTAACAGTTGTTTCAATTTGTATTTGGAGATGTTACTTTAAAATGAAAAGATGATGAGCAAATTTCTAAGTTATATTTAGAACAGTAACATGTTTTTTTTTCTTATCACATGGCAGTGTTTAAGTGTCAGTTGACCCTGATCTCTAGCCATTTTCCTGATTAGGGAATAGAGGTCACCTTAAAATTTTCATCTTTAGAACCAGTAGAGACACAGGGACTTTCACTCTAATCAGAAGCAAGTCTTGAAAAAGGCAGAAAGGCATCCCATCCTTCATTCTCTCTAGGAAATGCATTTCCTATTTTCTTTGTCTTTGAATTACTAATGCTTTCACAATTGTTTTTTCAATGGCTTGATCCTAATCCTGGATGTTTTTGTTGTTCTCATGTTGTTGCTGTTGTTTGGGGTTTCTTTGTTTGCTTGCTTGCTTTTTTTTTCTCAGTAAAAATGACATTACATTATCTTCTTTATCAGCAAATCAAATGTATCCTTTAAGTAAGCTGAAAGAGTTGAAAGAAAATAGATCCAACACAGATCTCAGGAGACATGAGCAGCTTTTATGTCAGGAAGAAAAATTATCATCCAGGCATGGAAGCTAACGTCTTCTCCTGGGATTCCACTCTTGCTCACCCCAGAAATCCTGGGAATTGTGATGGGAACAACTTTCCCTACTGTTGTCCCCTGGGACACAGGACACACGCAGGTGGATTTATTTGTCCATTTTCTGTGAAAAGCTGTGGGAAGCAGTGTACAGCAGTTCCAGCAAAAGAATTCAAATAAGAGAAAAAAGGAAATTAATTATTAGTCATAAACTGTGTCATATGTACCTGTATGTATCCACTTATATACAATGCAGGGTATAATGAGGTAACTCAGATAAGGATCGAAGTTCTGCTTTGGCAAGGAAAGTCGCAAGGACCATGCTAAAGTTGAAAAAAATGCTTGTCATTGTGCAAATTTCACATTCACAAAAGGTACAGTTATTCTTTTTGAGACATTTCAAAATGAAGGACGAACTCAACTTTCCTAAGGGTAAAATGTTTTGTAAAATTATATGTTGGAGGAAATAAAGAGTCTGAAGCCAAATGAGGTGGATTAGAGTTGAACACAATGACTTTGGGCAAATGGTTTGAGTCTTGGACTATGGCTTCCTCAAATGGAAATAGAAATAAGAATTCTTGCATCTCAGGGTTACTGTAAGCATTGAAAGCATTGAACATTTGAAAATGTTTTATAAATGAAAATGTGAAACGAATGTTAACTATCCTAGCTTCTGCTTTCTGGGGAAGGAGTTAGCAATCTATGTATCATTGCCTGGCCCTCAGAACTTTATAATGCTACCTGTTATCTTCTCGCTGGACCTGGAAAGAAGGTGAGGTGAAGCAGGAAGACTGGGGCTGCAGAGTCAGAAAGATCTTAGTTTGAATCCTGGTTCCATTACTGACAAGTGGGGTAATCTTTGGAAAGTTACTCATTGGGAGAACAAGAGGCAGCATGTGTAGCTAAGTGACGTAGCTCTGTATTTTGAACTTCATCTCTGTCACTTAGCAGTCTTTGAATCTTAGGCAAGTTGTCCAACCTCAATTGCTACTTGTATCAAATGAGGATAATGAAGTATATTTCTCATAGTGCCAAAAGGAATCATAATAATGATGTATAATATCTGTTAGTTTGTGTTTTGAGAATGTGAATTATGTAGAACATGGACAAGCAGACCCTTGAGTCACAATGAGATGGCCTGAGAACACTGTCTGCTTAAAGCCAGCATTCAGAGAAGGAAGCTGGATAAACTTTTCAAGTCAATGCTACTTTCCTTTCTTTCCTTTCTTTGGCTATGAATTAGATATTACAGCACTCCATTTGAAGGAAACCCATAGAAGAGAGCTCGGTTATGTTTCTTTTTTTTTTTTTTTATTCTTATGTTAATCCCCATACATTACATCATTAGTTTTAGATGAAGTGTTCCATGATTCATTGTTTGTGCATAACACCCAGTGCTC